CCGTTGACGTTTTCCCAGAATTTTCCGCAGACCCCTCTGAGATAAATAGTCTTTTTTGTGCAATTCCAAATGGGAAGTAAGTCTCTGTATCTTATTGGTGAACACACGAATACTTGAAATTCAACGGACCCCCTCTTTTCTTCTTTTTCTTGGGAAATAACCGAGATGAATGGATTTTTTACCATAAAAGAACCCCCCTTTTACATATATTAATTTTACCGATCAGTAATAATAATAAGGCTAGTCATTTTAATCTGATATACACAATAATCTAAATTTCTTTATGGACTCCAATTTTATCAAGTAAAATGAATCAATAATCAATTCAATTTAAAATTGGAGTCGGATAGGAATACAAAAGGATAATACATTTCTGCACTTACGAAAGAGAATAATTTAGGCCTAAAATAAAGAAGATTCATTTCTATATCGAATGGATACGTCATTGAATTAGTATCGTATATTAGTGTAAGACAAGGCATGTGCGCATTTGTTTTGTTTGCTTTTAGATACTAGATATGATAGAGGATATAGAGGAAAAATGTACCATCAACAAAGTTTCAATCGTGGATACATATGTATCCTTAACATACTGAAACGACTTCCATTATTGGTATCAAACCAATAACGATTCATACAAGCTAAATCTTCTAATCGATAATTGGGCCAAAGGAAAAACTTTAATTTAATTAATTTATTTTTCTCGCTATCAAGATGCGGATTTTCATCCAAAAATGGACCCCAGTCTTTTATGCTGTTCCCGTTGCAAAATACTGGATTTCTATCCATACCATTTCTATTCTTTGAATTGAAACAAATTAGAATTCTCAACTCTCTACAACGTCTAGATGATAAAATATTTTCAGGAATAAGCAAATCATAATGATTTTTGTCTATATTTCCAGTTATCTTTTGATGTTTTGCAATGAATTCATCAAAGTTCTTCTTATCAAGATATTCTTTTTCTCGGTATCTTTGATTAGTTTTGTGCTTACTCTTATGAACCAATGAAATACCGAGGGTTTGATACATAATAAATTGTCCGTCGTTTTTTAAAAACAGACGAACGGGTTCGATAATCAATATTCCCTTTTTCATCAATTCTGTAAGAGTTAAATTCTTTTGAATCAGCATTATATCCAGACTTATTTCTCTCCTTTGAATCGAGAATATAGCAATTTCTTTTGGATTTCTCAGTCTAAGCAGGAGACAATATACTTTGATATTATTGATCATTCTTTGATTCAAAGTCTCATTCCATCTCAATTGAAAAAGCAAATACTTGTTCAAGAAGAAATGGAGTTCTGCTTCCGTGTTATTCTTGTATTGTTTTTTATTTGTACGTTTTTTCATATCTGATTCCGGATACTCTTCTTCAATATCGTTTTGTTGGTTTGAGAGAGGGGACCCAAGATATTTTTTGTTTTGTGCATCTGATCCAAGATCCCCTTGGCCTGCGGGTTCTTTTTCGTTTTCTGCTTGATTTATATTCTTTATCTTTAATTCAAAAGATTGTTTTTTATTCGGTGGTATAAAAAGATTCCTTTGTTGCTTTCCGTTGATGTTTTTATTTTTACTCAAATTGTCAGTTATAGTTAAGTTTAAAAGAAGCAATTTGCTTGGTATAACCCATGGTTTTATTTTATATATATTATAAAGTAACAAAAATTCTGGGAAGAACCAAAATTCCAGATTCAATATGGGACGATTTAGTATTTCTTCATTCATTCCCATCCAATCTAAAAAGATTTTGTTTTGGTTGGTTGGATCGAGAAGGGAGTTCAGCAGCAAAGAGAAGGTCAGAGGACTTCGTGGAATCTTTCTTTCGTTTGGGGAAGGCTTAACGGCGCTCATCATGTCAAGCTTCAGGCAAGCGATTGGCTCCAAGGGACTTTAGAAAGAAGAGGAATGAGCCATAGTGTTGAACTATTTCAGGAAGCACCCCTCCAAAATCAATCCTTGATTGCCAGCGATCAATATTTCTTCTCCAACTAACCGGAAACCGTCAGGCCCCACTCAAACTAGCTGCCCTGTCACCTTAGAAATCTGCATTTCTTCGATTTTAGAAAATGGAACTAGCCCGGGGATGCTCAAGCTCAATATCATATTGGTTGTGTTCTACCAACGAGAAGGCCAGGAGCCTCAAGAAAAAGATGAGAAAGAGAGAAGTGTTCCATATAGGTTCGTATTTCTACTGTGGCGCTATATGATCTTTAGCTATAGGTATCGTATAGTGTGCTTGCTATAGAAAGTAAATATACGAGTCACGAGTCAGAGGAGGCGAGGCGGGTCATGTTCATATTTGAGTGCTGACTTCAGCCTCACATCAAGGTGACAGGATTCGAACCTATGGCCCTCTGTACCCAAAACAGATGCGCTGACCAGACTGCGCTACACCTCGTCTCACCACCCCGGAGCATATAGATCCACCCGATCGATGAACACTCAAACCGAACTCGCCCATCCTTTTGGGCACAGGGACGCGAGAACCAATCCGAGGTTGAACCCGCTTTTTTAGAAAAGAAGCTGCCTCCAGCAAGATAGGGCGACGCCAAAAAGCCGTATAGCGCAGGAGCACTCACATTTTTTGGCTGACTCTTTCACTTTCATTTCAAAATCCGGCTCGATCCCGGCTATGTTTTGGACCCTTCGCCCGCCTAGAAGTGGATTCGAACCACTGACACAAGGATTTTCAGTCCTTTGCTCTAACCAACTGAGCTACCTGAACCACTTTCCTAAAGTCAGTTTTCTTCATCGAATAGCGCCCTACCTTACCACTTGACTAGTCAGGGAAAAAGCCCTCTTTACTTGACTAAGAAAATCAAATAGAAAGTGTCTCGCCTGTTCATCAAGCTTTCGAGCAGCTCTTTCAACTGCCGCCTAATCCCCCAATGCTCAAGAACCGAGAGCCATCCAGTCCCCGGACGGCCGGAGGGAGCTTACTTATAGAAAGAAGTCTAGGCCGGTCAAAGAGAAAAACAAGGCGAAAAGGCTCCCCGCTCCTAGTCATTAAGTAAGTAGTGCTATTCTGTCCTCCGGGGGACTGGACTCCACCAAGAGGTTCTTTCTCTCACGTAATTTCGCCCGCCCGTTCCACTTCCGTGCCGGAGGAAATGGGATTCGAACCCATGATACAATCTTCTTGTATGTCGATTTAGCAAACCAATGCCTTAAGCCACTCAGCCATACCTCCAAGTTGTTGATCGGAATGGAATTGGATGTGCGGGGTTTGGTTGGTTGCCCGAAGGGCTATCTGCTCCGATCAACTGCGTAAGCCGTAGCGCACTAGCTCGCGTACTCTTCCTCTATGAGCGAGACTCTATCCAAATCTCTCACTCGTTGGGCCTTCTTTTCTATTCAAATCCCACCACTGAATGATGAACTTTGCCAGTTTTCGCCTCCGACCCGACCAGGAGAGAACACACGGTCAAGCCAAGCCCTTACCCGCCGCCTGAATGGAATTCATATCTCCTTCCTCTGGTCGAGAAGGGGGAAAGCCGGGGGAACTTACCTGTGACTCTTCTATTCCATTCCATTACGGAGAAGTCCATTCTCGTCATGATCGATCCACGTCCTACCGTAGTGCCCGGAGAACCAGGCTTCCTTAGCTTACAAAGCTAGCTTACTAACGCGAAGGAATTTCTCGTTGATTGCACGCGCTAGCCAGCAAACAAGCAAACCCCTCTGACTCACCTCTGAATCTATAAAAAAGCCCTTTCTCCCTTTTTCGAATTCACATTTCAGAATATTACAACCAACGTATTGTACAGCTTGTGCAAGAAATTCCTTAGTCTGTAGAAAGCAGTGTTTTTCTTTAATGAATTTCACTTCTGCTAATCCCCTTATCCAACGTCTTATGCAATGGGTCATCACCAGCATATGAACAGGTGGACTTCTCCTGTTTGTTATAGGCAGACTTAAGCTTCACACTGATGCTGCCTTTGACAAGTTAACAGGGTTATGTGGAGGTGTGTTGGTACTTCGCAACCATGAAGGACAAGCTATTAAGGGGGGCGGAAGTTTGATTTCGAGATGTGGGCCGAGGTGGCCGACGCTCTTGTAATTAGAGAAGGTTTGCGGATTCTTATCCAATGAGGATATTTGCATGTTGATTTGGAAAGTGATTTCCATTCTGTGGTTCATTTTAAGACTGCTGATCCTTTGTCTATGGTGATTGTTGAAGACATCCAGTTTTTGCTTCAGAAGAACTTGGGATTTCAACTGGTTTGGTGTCCTAGGCTGTGCAACAGAGTGATGTAATAGGTAAATGGTCTCTTAGTAAGAGGGTGGGAGATCTGCGCGGATATGGCCTACATGGCTTCTGAATTTCAAGAGGATTTTCCCTCTTCTGATTCATCGAATTTTGCTGTTATGTTTGGTGTTCTTGTGCTCTCTTTCTTCTTCTTTTTTCTGTTGATAGATCACAAAACAAAGGATGAATGGGTAAGTCATGTGCGGGTAAGGTAATGACTAGCTACCGGTTTTGTTCCTCTTTTCTTGAGAGATTTACTGGACTTTCTTTGTTCACTCCCAATCCATCTCATGCTGAGGAAGAAGTGCTCCTTTTTGTTTTTGCTTTGGTTGGTTCCATTTGTTAGGTTCCTTGGTGCCAGTTCGACTGATAAGGTTTTCCTTTGCGCGGTTAGGTTAGGGTAAGGCTTCTGTTGCTGCTCGCTTCTTAGCCTATGACTTATACAGCATATAGATGTTCAAGCTGTAACAGACTCTTTCATCCCTTAGCCTGTATCTATTTTCCATCAATGAATCTGTTTTCCTGTTGTGCGAGATATAGGCCTTGGATCTTGTCCTCGTCTAGTGAGCCCTTCTTTTGGGATCCTCATTGTAGGGGATAAGTTGAACTTCAAAGAAATGATTGAAGCAAGGAGAGGGGATAAGGGTTTCCATCCATTCCTCAACCTCAAATGCATGAGCAGAGAAGGAAGCCAAAGAGTGAACTCATTTAGATCAGGATTGGCGTGAGAAGCAGGCATAGTTCATTT